TATAGAAGCCCCCGTGTGGTTGGAAGCATTCTATGTCTGCCATCGACCGGAACAGGCACCCAGAAAGGTAAGCGTCTCAAAACAAACCCCTATTCTGCTTAAAATTGCTACCAAAAGCCGAACTAGTGGATAGAACTCCCCAACAGAAAACAAGCAAACTAGTATGACGTCACACGCCGCCGCGCCACTGTCTTCGCAGCTCCCCCCTCCCCGGGAGGGGGAAGGGGGAGCCCCAGACCCTCCACGCCGGCTACCCACACCTCAGTTCTTAAGGCTGATGCTATAGGTGAAGGTCGTGTGCTGTGGCTCCGGTGTCGCTACTGCACTGTGCTTTGCGTGTGGTGTTTGTTTTTGTGGGTGCGAGAGCCAGGAGTTATCTTCAGTACTCGGGCTGCATGCGCCTAGGGCTGCCTTCCCTAGGTGCCCTATAAGTACTGCCCTTGGGGCTTGGGGCAAACTTCCACAGGCTCCTCGGGGTCTGCCTCTGCTGGTCCGTTTTACCTTTTCGGTTTTTCGACCGCCTGTTGGGCTCTTGGGTGTTCTGTTCTTCCTTGTTACCGGCGGGTAAGAGGCAGTTTGCACTGGTAGGGGCGCAGGGTGCTGCACGGCTTGTATTCCTGACATAGCGGCCGGCTCTGTTCCTTGGGGTTCGCTGTCCTCTTGCGGGGTTTGCTTTTTCTTTTTCTTTTTGCCTGGTGGGGGGTTCTGTCATATTATTCCATAAGTTTTTGCCCTTCCACTGTTCTCCTCAGTGGCGCCCCCTGCTAGGTCCCCGTGAGTGTACATGTCCCTGGGGTTCAGCTATAGAAGTTCGCTTGGTAGTTTTGGGTGCCGGTTAGCAGAGCCCTGCCTGGGACTACCTGAGCGCGAGTCCTCTTAAAGTAAACGCTCAGGACCCTGGGAATCCCCTAGGGGGCGCTTGGGTCCGATGGATGTGACCCCGGAGTCCCCACTCGCTGTGTGCGAGTTTGAGGGTTGCTCGGTCCCCTTGTCTCAGGGTGACCCTCATTGTTTTTGCCTCTGCCACGCTGCCTGTTGGGTCGGTGATACTTTCGACCCTGAGTTCTGTGAGTGTTGCTGCTTGCTTGTGACTTAATTTACCCAATCCTCTGATCATTCTCTTCGGGTACAGGCGGCGCGTGCGTTGCAGTCTAGGTTTCGTCTGTTGCAACGCGCTCGGCTGGTTGCTCACCCAGATGCCCCGGGGCTGTCCCGCTTTACTTTTCGAGACCCGGACTTGGGGGTGGGGGTCGCTTCGATCCTGGTTCAGTCCGCACCTCCTCGTCCTTCCCCTTCTGTTCATTCTGGTCCCCCCTCCCCCCCTGCTTCCGGCCCCGAAGCGTCTGAGAGTTTCGGGGTTGGAGCAGGGCTTACTTGATCTCGAGATTCGGGCAGCTTCGGGGGGTGCCCCTTCCGGGGGGGCGGCAGAGGCATACGAGTCTTGTCTCCCAGCCGAAGCTTCTGGGTCTGACCAGTGGGCCTCCATTCCTCCAGCTTTTCCGGCTGCTCCGTCCTTGTCTTGTGAGGTCGGGACTTGGGGACGGTGATGCAGCAACCTTGTGTCGGTTGCTGCATCACCGGCTTCCTCTTCGGGTTTTTCGAGGTTCAGTGCCTTGGCGCCTACCCGAGCCCTCGCTCGATGTGTACATGGATGCGTGGTCTCTCGGCTGAGATTTTGTGATCAGTGCTCACCAGGCCGGCCAGGGGCGTTGGGATCCGTCCTTCTGTCGAGTACACAGCACGGTGCGGGAGTTCGCGGCGTGTGTGGTTCGCTCTTGGGAGGATTCGGGTGGCCCGTGGATCGACGATTCGGCTCCATTCGGACTGCTCTCCAGTGGTTTATTGCCTGAACCACGGGGGTTCGATGCGGTCCTTGTCTGTTTGGGGTCAGTCGCTTCGGGTGACTCGTCTGCTGAGGTGACTCGTCTCGGGGTTTGGCTCTCCTGGCGGTTCACGTACAGGGAGTGTCCAATGTCTTGGCCGACGCCCTGTCTCGCTTCGTTCCCCTCTCCACGGAGTGCACGGTCGACGACGAGTCCTTCCATTGGCTTTGCCAGACGTTTGGGCACCCCGAGGTGGACCTCTTCGCGTTGGCGTGGTCGCGGCGTTTTCCCGGCCTTTCCCCGATTGCGAGGCCGTCGGGGTCGATGCCTTTCAGCTAGACTGGTCGAGGTGGGGGTTTCTGTACCTCTTTCCCCCAGTTCGGCTGTTGCTCCAGGTCCTGACTTGCTTAGATACTTACCGGGGGAGAGTTGTCCTTCTGGCCCCTTGGTGGCCAGCCCAGCCTTGGTTTCAGGCACTGGCTGCTCGGTGTCCGAACCCGAGGGTTTTCCAGCGGCTCCGGCTTTTTCAGCAGATTGGACCGGTATGTCACGTGGCTGGTTCGATCTTCTCCTCGAGTCTTCGCGTATAGGTGTTTTGACTCGAGTTTATCATCATCTCTATGGTGATCAGGTGGCCTCCTTGTTGGTGTCCCACCTGAGGGCTTCTTCTCGGCGGCAGTATGAAGTTTCCTGGCGGTCCTTCTGTTTCTTTTTGCGTCTTTGTCGTGTTAGTTCCTTGTCTGTTCGGGTGGTCTTGTCCCTCCTCTCATGGTTGTTTCAGGACCGTCATCTTATGCCGAACACTGTCGCCTCGTTTCGTGCAGCGCTGGCGGAGCCGCTTCAGCTTGCCTTCGGTATCGATGTTACGTCTGCGCCGTTTCGCAAGCTGTCTCGTGCATTGTTTCACCTCCGGCCTGCTCATGCACCGCCTGAGCCGTCCTGGTCTTTGGACAGAGTGCTCTTTCCTTTCGTCTCCTCGTTTTGTTGTGGCCCCTTCGGTCCAGGATTGCTTTTCCAAGGCACTTTTCTTGTTGGCTTTGGCCTCTGGGGGTCGGGTAGGGGAGCTTCATGCTCTCCTCCGGCGCAGGGGCTTCTGCTCTTTTGGTCGTGGTGATAGTTTTGTTCGCTTGCAGCCGTCTCCTTCTTTTCTGGCGAAGAATGAGACTGCTGCGTTCCAGAGGGGTCCGTGGGTGGTTGATGCTTGGTAGGTCAGGCCGGGGATGCATCATGTTTTGTGTCCGGTTGCGGCGCTTTGCCGTTATTTGCGCGCCACGGCTTCTGTGTCCGGGGACGCGCTGTGGGTTGATCCGGTTTCCCTTCTTCCCTATTCGCGGGTTCAGGTCTCCCAGGTCGTCCGCAGGGTTATTAAGTCCAGCCAGCCTGCGGTCTATCCCCGTGCCCATGACGTTCGTAAGTTCGCGGCTCTTGCTGCCGTCTTTGGGTATATGTCTTGGTCTGATATTCGGGCGCGGGGATTTTGGCGGTCAAACAGGGTCCTGGCTGCTCGTTACCTTGTGAATGTCCCTGGGCCCCGTCGGGCCTGTGTTGCTTTGGGTCGGCGGTTGTAGCCAATTGTCTCGGCTTCGAGTTGAGGAGTGAGCAACGACCACCTCCCGGGTAAGTCCCTTTTTTTCCATCTGTAGGTAGTTAGCTCCGGGGAGCCGATGGGGCTCCCCCAAAAAACCAGCATTGAATGTAATGAAATGCCATTTTCTGGATGAGTCCCGGAGGCTCCCCGGCATCCTTCCCTCCAGTCGGCGATTTTTTCGCATTTTTGACATCCAGCCTCAAGAACTGAGGTGTGGGTAGCCGGCGTGGAGGGTCTGGGGCTCCCCCTTCCCCCTTTCGGGGAGAGGGGAGCTGCGCAGACAGTGGCGCGGTGGCGTGTGATGTCACACTAGTTTGCTTGTTTTCTGTTGGGGAGTTATATCCGCTAGTTCGGCTTTTGGTAGCAATTTTAACCAGAATAGGGGTTTGTTTTGAGGCGCTTACCTTTCTGGGTGCCTGTTCCGGTCGATGGCAGACATAGAATGCTTCCAACCACACGGGGGCTTCTATAGGCCATTGCTCTCCTTGCCTCTGAGGGAGCCAGGTTCTGGCCGTGGTCCCCGGTAGGCCTAAGAACTCCATACACATGACTGATGCCAAAGTCTGACATTAGCATATCAGCCTAGGATAGCTCCGGGGAGCCTCCGGGACTCGCCCAGAAAATGGCGTTTCTTTACATTCAACGCTGGTTTTTTTCAGCCATGTCAGTAATAAAAACCAAAGAGAGAAATTTAATGGATGTTAATGCAGCTCTTCTTCACTCAGAAACAATGCTGCAGTCACATATATCAAATTTTCTAACAAAGAAGCAGCAGCAGATGTCACATTAAAAATGTAAATTTTATGACATTAGATATAATAAATAAAATACTATCTATATTTGGTTTTTATTTCTGTCTTAGTCATCAGCCGGTCTGCAAAATTGTTCTCCTGTTTTCGTCGATCCACGGGTGTAAAAGGGTTTAAAAGTGCTACACTAGAGGATTTGTTTGAATCTCAGGTTGCATTGCTTTTACCATGTTGTGGTGTAGTAATTACCTAAGGTAATGTTACCTGACAGCTGAGTGGACAGCGCTCGGTATTCATAGTCCTGAGGTTCCAGGTTCCATCCCCGGTGGAGGCGGAAACAAATAGGCAGAGTTTCTTTCAGTCTGATGCGAATGTTCACCTAGCAGTAAATAGGTTCCTGGGAGTTAGACAGGTGCTACGGGCTGCTTCCTGGGGGTGTGTAACAAAAAGGAAGCATGGTCGTCCCCTTATTCGGGGATGCTAAGTCCTGAAATCATCTCAAAATGATTACCTCAAGAAGGAAGGTAATTAGGTAATTAATAAATGTAGTAATTACCTAAGTGTAATTACCTAAGTGTAGTTACAGGATGAGAGCTACGCTCGTGGTGTCCCGTCTTCCCAGCACTCTTTGTCATATAATACTTTGTGGTCTAGGGCACATACTTGGAAGTACTTGGTGTGCAGGTTCAAATTCTCTTTGTGGCTCCTACTGATTTCCTCTTTGATACATCACATTAATGTAATATCATAGTGCAATAGTAATATTGTTATAATTATATTGGGAATTCTGTGAAAGCATATAAATTCTGTAGATAATGAATGATAATTATTGGTAATCAGGCGGGCAATAGCATCCAACAGTGTTGATGGGGTGTGTGCTATGCTGAACCATTCTGTCACACTCATTGAGACTCAACTGGCCGAAGGATTTAAACTGACTCTCCGCAAAGGGTTTCCTGCTCAGGGTTATCTTGACTTTAACCAGGTTAGTGTCTTTTGGTTTTTATGTTCCTTGCCATTTATTTCAAGTTACTATAATAAATGACATTCATTATCATTACCTGGAGAAAAATTATATAGTGAAAGATGGTTACTGTTATTAACTTCTGTACAGAAATAAAGTTAAAAATGTTGTTATATAATTCATATGACAACATTGAGTATATCATAAACTATGACTACCACACTCCAGCACTCATCCACAGTACAACCCCACTGCTGCATAACTCAAACATCATAAATCGAGTAAAAGCCATCGTGTATGTAGTTCACATAATCAGCCTCCTTGGAGCTCGTCAGTGACCAAATGCCATTGATGAGATCCTTGGAAAGAGAATCATTGACCTAAAAGGATAGAAAATAGGATTGGTGACATAGGTACTCATGGTGCATTTTATCTTTACACGGAGTGTATATTCCTTCCCAGACTAACCGACTTTTTGAGGTGCATCCAATCTTACAACAGCCCAAAGCTTGAAGAGTATGACCTCTTGCTGAAGACCATATTAGCAAAGTTGTCAGTCTTGCTCTCAATGGCCCATGGAAACAAGCCACTCTTCCAGTCACACTTGGTGGCTGTGGTGTCTGTACTGTCATGCAGCTTGTTGATCCAGCCCTCTTATCTATCTCCTCTGCATCAAATAACCCACCTACCTCTTACTATAAGATGATGATTCCCAGGATCAACACCCCGATGTGCGCTCTCTGACCAGGCCTACTGGATGCTGGTCTGATTAACCAGGCTGTTCAGTACAGCGACTTGCAGCCTGATGTACGAATTGCAGCCTGGTGTATCGGGTATCCGTTGAAGGTGCCTGTCGCGTTCTCTTATGAACACTGTATTCTCTTATGAACAATGATAGAGCCCAATAGGCTCAGGAATCTGTACGCCACTTGATTGACAGTTGAGAGGCGGGACCAAAGAGCCAGAGCTCAACCCCCGCAAACACAACTAGGTGAGTACAACTAGGTGAGCACTGAGAGAGGTCGACCAGTTATGCCCCGCATGTGTAGGGGAAGTGTTGAAAAGCCCTGGGCCATTGATGTTGTTTGAGTCCTCTCTCAGCGTGCCTATTGTACCTCTTCTTTTCAGTGGGGCTGTTTTGCACATCCTGCTATGCCTTCTGGTCTCATGTGGTGTTATTTCTGAGTGAAGGAACCAGTCCTTTAAATATTTTCATAGTGTAAATTATTATGCATTTCTCCCACTTGCACTCTAGCCCGCACATATTGGGGACCTGGTAGCAAAAAATATTTGAATTAAATAAAACCAGTGTTGAATGTAATGAAACTCCATTTTCTGGGTGAGACCCGGAGGCTCCCCGGAGCTTTACCAGGCTGATATGCTAATGTCAGACTTTGGCATCAGTCATGTGTATGGAATTCTAGGGCGGTTCGGGGACCACGGCCAGAACCTGGCCCCCTCGGAGAGGCAAGGGGAGCAATGGCCTATAGAAACCTCCGTGTGGTTTGAAGCATTCTATGTCTGCCATCGACCAGGTCAAGCATCCAGAAAGGTAAGCATTCCAAAACAAACCCCTATTTTGGTTAAAATTGCTACCTAAAGCCGAACTAGTGGATAGAACTCCCCAACAGAAAACAAGCAAACTAGTATGACATCACATGTCACAGCTCCGCTGTCTGCGCAGCTCCCCCTCTCCCCGGGAGGGGGAAGAGGGAGCCCCAGACCTCCCACGCCGGCTATCCACCCATCAGTTCTGAGGCTGGATGTCAAAACACGCAAAAACCGCCGACCGGAGGGAGGGAGGATTGCCGGGGAGCCTCCGGGTCTCACTCAGAAAATGGCGTTTCATTACATTCAACGCTGGTTTTCTGGGGGGAGCCCCATCGGCTCCCCGGAGCTAACTACCCACAGAGGAAGGTCAAAGGGACGAAACCGGGAGGCGGACACCACGTACCCCCCATGGAAGCGAGACAACCGACAGCAAAACGCCAACCCAGGGCGCCACAGCCCCGAAAAGTCCCAGGAACAACACGAGAACAAGCAGCAAGCCCCCGTACGAACACCAAAGAGCCACGCCCGAATGACCGCAAGGACACGTCGCTCAGACAGCAGCGAGAGCAGCGAAGCCACGAACGCCACGGGCATGAGGGAATAACACAGGCAACTGAGCCGCAAGAACACGGCTGACAACCCGGGACACCATCACCCGTGAACCGAGAAGAACAGAACCGGATCAACGCAAAACACTCCCCGGACACAGATGCCGTGGCATGCAAACAGCGGAGGGCCGCCACTGAACACAAAACACGACACACCCCCGGCCCGACCAACTAAGCACCAACAAAACAAGGACCCCTCCAGAATGCAGCAGCCCCACCCTGCGCCAGAAAAGATGGAGACTGCTGCCACCGAACAACCAAAACGCTAAAACCGAAGGAGCAAGAAAACTCAGCAACCCGACCCCCAGAGGCAAATGCCAAAAGGAAAAAGAGCCGACGAAAAAACAAACCGCAACCGAAGGGGGCCTACCAACCAAGGAGAAGACAGAGCACGCTGACCAGAGACCAGGACGGTGCAAGCGGCGCACGAACAGGCCGGAGGTGAAACGATGCATGAGACAGCTTACTAACAGTGCAAAAGCAACACCAACACCGAAAGCAAGCCGAAGCGGCTCTGCCAGCGCCGCACGAAAAAGGCGACAGTATGCGGCAAGACGACAGCCCCCAACCCCCACCAGAAAACCAAGCTGACGCTAACTAGAGTAGCCACCTAAGAAGGGACAGGAAAAGGAAGGACCGCCAAAATACCCCATACTGCCACCAAGAGAAGTACGCAGGTGGGACACCTACCACGATGCCACCTGACCACCCCCTGGAGGCGAGACCACGAGGCAGAACGTAAGCAGCCCCGACAAGGCCTCTCCGAGCCCAGGAAAAGGCGGAGCCACGGGAAGATCTCGGGCTCCACCACCGAAACCCATGCGGCACAAGGAGATGGAACGTCTGCCGAACAGAAAACTTCCCAAAGCAAGCAAGCCCGCCAGGGGTTAAAAAACGACGGATCTGATGCGAGCCATCGCAAGACCCTGAAAAACCAACCGGCAGGGCTTGCTAGGAAACCAAAGAAGGCGGAAGGGTTGCCGCCAGAACAGTACCCGAACCAAGGGGTACGAGCAACTGCAACAGATCGAGACAAAGGAGCACACTACAGGACACAGGCCGAAAAATCGCCCAAGAAGCCAAGGAACACGCGCCGAACACCCCTGCGGCAGAGGAGGAAACAAGAGAACGCTCAAGGAAATGAAGCGGTGGAAACTGACCAAAGGAGATACCAGGAAAACGACTGGGGAGAGGCAGGATGAAAGAGCTGAAGCACAAAAAAAACAGGAAAACAACCAGGGGAAGACAATCAGGTAGGAACAGAAAAAAACCCACGCACACGAGAGGGCCAAGCCAGGGGCCCGAAGACCACGAAAAACAACAAGCAAACCCCCATACGCAAACCCTAAACACAAAACAGCCGCAAAGTGCCACACCACAACCGGACACAGGAAGAAGGACACGCCACCGCGAAACACGTCACCAATGCACACGTGCAGCAGCAGCAACAGGCACCACCACAACATGCAACATTTAAATAGCAACTGTTCTGCAAAGGCAGAGAACGGAGCAGGCAGACCCCAGACAGAGCCAACAGAGACACGACAGAACCCAGCAGGCCCAGAAACCTGCACACCAGGCGACCGACAGCGGAGAACCCCGCTTGATGCTCGTAGGTAGGACGTGTAACAACCGCAGACCTCTGATGGTTGTACAGTGTTCCCCGATTGTGCCTATAGCACCACTGCACTCGACTGGTACTATCCCGCAAGTTCTTCCAGATAGGCGGGACCCAAGAGCCAGAGCTCAAACTCTGCAAGCACAACCAGGAGAGCCCTACCAGGTGAGTACATAACCAGCACCACAACCCACACACCTCATAACACGAAAAAAGGTGGGTCCCCTGAGTGACTCTAGCATGGGTTGGACATGCACAGGAGTGGGAATGGAAGGGTTGAGAAAGGGACTGTCACTGGTGTGCGAATGGTCTCAGTCATACAAAATATACCTAAATAAAGACAGGTATATAAACATCTCCGCATCCAGCGCCCGGCCAAAAGACGCCAGACTGCAGAAACTCACCTGTCGAACGGAGGCATGAATGTGACACGACTCAACTGTGCCCAAAAGATCCTGGGAGCACTGCCAGGTGAAGACACCAGAGCCGGACCCACAGGAGAGCAGGGTAGAGGCGAAGGAGGCGGCTCACACCCATGACAGGGAAAACCTCGGTGTCCTCCCCACAGCTGGAAACCAGGACACTCCCAGAGCAAAGGGGCACATACCGCAGCAAGGGAGAAAAGCGAGAGGCGAAGCACCTGAGAAAAAAGGGCGCAAAACACCAGCACTGAAACACACCGCCCAGACCAAAACAAACTCCACGGCGCATGCGCATGACATGCAGGCCGAACTGCACAACCCGCTCTGTGGTAAGGCGCCAACCAGGACTACCGCACTAGAAAAGTAGCCAAAAGAGGAAGCAGAAACAACAAAACCGGCCAACGAAGCGAAGACAGAACCCAAAAAGGTACCCAACCGGGCCACAAGTAGCCCAACCGGCCCACAAGTAGCCCAACAGGGCCACAAGTAGCCCAGCCAGGCCACAAGTAGCCCAACCAGGCCACTGGCCACAAGCAGCCCAACCTGGCTTCAAGTAGCCCAAAACGGCGACCCGGACGAGGAGCCGACAGACATTCCAATAATGCGGGAAGTAGCGAAAACCTTCCCGAACCCTCGAGAACACAGAAGCCAACACTAGCTCCTGAAGGCACACAAAGGCACAGGCACACCCGAGACCAAAAGTCACGTAGAACCCCAAGAACTGGGAAACACGACAAAGACACCGTCCCAAAAATTGGGGGGGGGGAGGAAGCATCCACCCACAGGACGAAACCAACTGACTCAAAGGCCAAGGAACAGAGC